TAAACTATAGTATTTACATGCGTAAGAGTGAGATAAGATTAAATTTAAGATTAAACTTTATTTGCAGTTATGCTGGTGGGTGAAAAAAAGCTTTATTTGTCTACAATATTTAACTACAATAACCATGATCCTTTGCTCCATTATTCAATTTAAATTTCTGTGGTGTTGAAATGAAATGCCACTGAGCTAAAACCCTGGACATCTGCTGTATGTCTTATGACGCCACGAGTTTAAAGGTGCACTCTGTCACTTTTCTCCATGGAGACAAGCATGTTTTAGACCAGCTGAGATGTTTTTGCTTACAGCAGTTTTGAATCTTCCACAGCATGGCAGGATTGTCACTGAAAAATTGCAAGATGAGTGGTTTTAATGCCAAAAAAAAGATCCAAAAAATATACTGGTACATGTGTATTGTGAGTGGGCTCGCCTCTCCACAGATCTGTCCTGTAAACTTTCTAGTCAATTTAATGCCCAGCCATGGAACATTCAAAGCGCAACATTAACCATAGAGACAAGCAGGTGTTGGAAACTTTACACTACAAATTTGATTCATCTTTCAACTTTATTATTGTCCCAGAGGAAAATTGTGCAGCAGCGTCAGACAGTCGACACACAATATAATTCAATAATTCAATAATAAACTAAACCACAGCTTAAGCTCAACAATACAGACAAACAATCCCTTAAAATAGGCAAAAAGAACAGGAGATGTAACCACATTTCACCACGACTGATCCAAAATATAAGAGCATTCATCCTGGTTATGGCTTCAGAAATAAAGGAAGTCTGAGCTCTCTGTTCCCAGTTCTGATCCGGGGCATTTTCAGACGCCGCCCAGAAGGAAAGAGGTTAAACTCCTCAAAGAGCGAGTGCTCAGGCCTCTCCTTTATTTGTTGGTTCTTGCAAATCACCCTTCTGTTGTAGATGTGCAGCTGTAACACTACAATTTCACCTGCCACTTTGACCAACCGAGTCAGACGATTTCTCCTAGACACAGAGTGGACACCGAACCAACAGACAAAACAAAATACAAGAATAGATTTAATAAAACTCTGATAAAAAAGGGTCATAAGAACATTACTGACATTAAAAGAAACAGTCTTTGCTGCACTTTCTTGCAGACGGCATCAGTGTTCGATTCAAAGCATAGAAGACTGTCAATAATTGTCCCTAGATATTTATAATCACAAACTCAACTTCTTTTCCCTGAATTACAAAATGCGTCCACTAGGGGGCACTAGTCTTTGTCACAGTGGAGTGTTTTAAGTCTCGTCTTAAAACACACTTTTATTCTCTGGCTTTTAACACGGTGTAAGTTGTGTGGTCCTCTGTGTCTTTTATTTTACTTTATTTATTTATTGCTATTTTATGATTGTTATGGTTTTGCTTTTATTTAGATTGAACAGGTTTTATTGTTTTAGGACTGGTATGACCAAATTTGAACAATTTACCTTTTTGTTGTCTTCATTTTATGATCTCTGCAGCACTTTGGAAACTGCTTTGTTGGTAAAATGTGCTGTAGATAGTGGATTTGGATTTAATAGACAAATAAAAGTGTTCATCTTGTTTTCAGATTTATTATCTACTTACAAGTTCTGAAACGGCTTAATTCTAGTCTAGAGGTCATTTATTTTGAGATAACTTGTCGAGTAAAATGATCTTGCTGCACAGACAGATAATTTCACTACTTTTAAATAATTTTCTGATACATTTAAGTGTTTATATCTTAAATTTTGGCTAAGCTTTTTTTTTTTTTGCAGAGTACCAGAAATGATTTGTTCAACTTAAAGTGTTGAAAATGCAGGATATTTTTGACTTAAGTTTCCTCAAAGTCATGTATAAAACAAAGTGCAGTGTGTTATCTGTCTATATTCAAAGACTGTTTGAGACGAGAACAAACCACTACAATTTAAAAGGAACCTACACTGAAAAAATGGTCCGAGAGGAGTTGCTCAAATTGCAAAAACAAATTTGACAACAATAACATCACTTTTTTACGTTTCTCTGTCCAGCATGTTTAAATGTTACAAACATCGCTTGATTGTGGCCGATGTTAGACCTGCATGTTTGAATCAGGTTGAGGAAACATGACTTTATTATAATCTCTGGTGAGGCTCCTCCCTCTGGAATTCTCCTCCCCAAAACTTTTGGAGGGAAAATGTAGCAGGACACAGGACAGTTCCAGGAGCAGAGGACACACAGTGTGGAGCAGGAGGATTATGAAGCTGATCTGGAGGTGAGACTTTTAAAAGATTTTATATGCTTCTCCGGCCTAGAATGTCGTCATTGTGAAAACATGTTTCTGATGTTTTATTTGAAATTAGAGTTAATGTAATGACTGTTTCCATGAAACAAATTGTATTTGACTGTCCATCTACAAGAGTTTGACAGTTGTACTCAGATTTTAATGTGTTGCTTCCAGAGTCGTCTACAAACACAGAGTGACGTCCAGAGCTCTGCTGGAGCTGTGGGGAAGTTCATGAATGTTATAGTTGATGTTTCAGAAAAAAGGAAGATGTTTGAGAACCAACAAAACACAGACCACAGATGAACAAAGTAAGTAAACCAACTAAAATTATTTTAAACAAATTTTTCAAAATGAACTTCCTTTTGAAACAGTTGTCGTCTTTCTGGCATGTGTGTTGTGTAAAACAACACAAACAACAAAAAATAGGATTCTAAAGTCAATAATGCAAAGAAACTTTTTTGGGGGTATTTATGCACAAGTGAAATTTTACACCTCACTCATGTAATGTCGATGGAGCCCAAAGGAAGAAAAGACCAAAGAAAATGGAACCAAAAGGAGAAACCCACATCTTTTTAAAACCTGATCATTTGGAATAATCTTAATACACAGGATATTTTTGTAATCCCTTTTTGAGGGAAATGGTCTAATTATGGGCCAGGTTAAATGTTTGTACCATCATTTCCACAGGTTGCATTTGGTCTTTGACCCTTATGTGTTTTTGGTTTGTGTCTCGACTGGTCTAAATATGGGCCAGATTTAAACAGGCTGGTAAAACATGTTATGGTTGGGTGAAAGTGAAATGACTTATTGTTAACTAACCCTTCAACAGTTTCATTTTAGTTAAAAAGGTCTGAAAACTGACTTGAGCTTTGGGTTGTGTGTCTATTTTATATTTGGTTTGGTCTGAACTGGTCTAAACTGAAAGTCTAGTCATCGTCTCCTAATCCAACTCTTCCACAGGTTTGCATGGGGTCTGTTCATTTTAACCAGTTTGAAATACACTGACATTTCTGTTTAAACATTGTATTAAGTTTACAGGGTTAAAGGTTAAATCTCATATTAATATTTCCATTGTGTGTGTTGTAAAATTGTTTCAGGTTTGTCTTGTGAAGTAACAGTTGTAACCCAAACTCCTCTGACTCTTCTCATTGCAGATCTAAACTGTTTTACTAAACTTTTAAACTAGTCTTCACAGGTCCAGAGGCTGCTGCTGTTTACTGTGAGTATGTCTGCACACACTTACTAACACACTAACTCTGTACGAACACGGGCGGTGGGTCTAATCCAGCCACAGAGGCGCTGTGTGTGTCCCTCTGTGTCAGTCCCCAGCCTGCATAAATGGAGAGGATTGCTTTGGCGTAAAACCTGCATCTATGTGGAGGAGCAGCGGCTCTCCTCCAAGCTCTTTTCAGAGTGACAGATCCACTGACGACAGCCGCTTAGCACAAAGAAGGTGGAGAAACATCGGAGTTTTCTCGGTGTAAAACAGCACCAGGCTTGTTCCAGTTCGGCAGAGCAGGTAGACCTGTCACATGAGGTTCTATGAGGTTTTTGCCAAGATATCTGTAAGGGCACACGGCCTTGCTCCGCCTCGCCCCGCGCTTCCCGTTTCTTTCACCGCTTGTGCCTTCCAAATTTGCACGTGCTGTGTGGTACCTGGCACCTGATCGGTGGGTGTGGTCCTGTCGCTGCTGGGCTGTCTGGAGGTGGGATGTCCGCCATGCTCTGGTTGGAGGCTTGACGTCCTGCTCATCCAGTCTCCTTCCTGAACATCATCGCCTCGCCCAATAAAAGTGCTGTGCGCCCGTTCCCCCCTGGAGGCTGGATTTCAGTGTCAGCTCACCACACTCCACGTTAGACATGCTGCTTGTTTCTGTTTCCATTAACTGTGAATGTGTAATTAGTGTTTGAGACACTAGAGGTCATTGTTGGAGCCATATTGCGCCTCTCTACCTCCTGCCACTGTGAGGCGCTACTTGTAATTTATGCAAGTACCTGCCCTATAAAAGGGGCACAGGTGTTGCACCGTGAAGGTATACAGTCTTTTGAACGTCGTCGTCATCGTTGTGAACTATCGAGTGCCAAATCTGTGTATTTTTGGATGGCTATAAGGTACGCCCAATAAATATTGAGGAACACAGTATTTGGACTCTGTTTTTATGGAAGACACGCGTCCGAGACACCACACACGCTGCAGCTATAGCGGACCTTGCACAGGGCAAGGTTTGTCCACTACAGTCACTAAGGACTTAACTTTGTATTGCCAACTCGGCTGGGCCTTTGGGCATTTGTATTTTATTTGATTTTAACAAAAAAAATTCAATTAACCCTGATTATATTATATGTGTTGATTATTTCAGTTGTAGCATTATTTTAATATTCAACAGGCTTTGAAATTAGTATCAGCATTAGCATTGAGATACAAAGACCTACCTGCCACTATATTGTATACATATTCACCATCTAAAATCTACTTCACTTTATCTTACCTTGATGTAAACTTGGCAAGTCATACTGTTTATTTTCTGTTCCAGGAAACTCTGGTGCAGATGCATAATAAATGCAGATGTATAAGTCCAACACGTCAACTGTGTTTGTGAATGTGCAACTCCTAAAATATAGATTTTTAATAATTTACATCAACTTTCAAATGGTATTTCAATGATTTATTTAGATTAGATTTTATTCTTATTGTACAAAATATAAGGAAACTTTGACAGAACAAAACGGCAGTAATAAATTATTTAATCACAACTTTTCAAATTTTTTTTAATAAACAAATAAGCAGCAGTTAACAGAATGTGTTCACAAGAATGAATAATTATTCAAATAGACATTTATGAGTTTGGAGAAAGTTCTTTTTAGTTTTTTTATTCTACTTTCGAGGAACAACTCGAGTAAATCCACTGGTCTTCCTGTAGGCTGTGCGTCCTCCTCTGGACAAAAGCCTGGAGGGCTGAGATCATCTTGAGCTTTATTGTGCACGGTGCTGTTCAGAAACCTGAGAACACACATCTTGTTTATTGACCAACGTTCAGCTTCAGCGTTTGTTTTTCATCTAGACCAGAGGTGGGCAATTATTTTGTCCATGGGGCCACATGAGAAACAAAATATTGTGGAGGGCCAAAATGCTTAACTCAATTCTGCGTTAATTATATTTCTTTATTTTAAAAAAAATAAAAATAAATTTTTAAAAGCACTAAATAGCTTTGTTCATAGTTGGTCAGACTGGTAAGAGTTTATGTTATGACTAAGCAATGAAAAAGTGAGACTGCTTTACAAAAAATGTCATTTAAAAAAACACCTCTAAAATAAAAGCAATGTAGCTTTAGTCCACACATGAGGTAAACTGATAAAATATGTTTATTTTGTAATTCCAAATGAGCTTAAACTGTCTGGTCAGAGTCAGCCTAAGATGCGACTGTGGCCCTGGAGCTGGACAATGCCCAGACCTGATCTAGGGTCATATGGTCATTGTCACAAATAACCTGACTGATTTATAAAATATAGAAAATAATAGTGAAGATTGAAGGCTTACACTATGGTCACTTGTCCGTGTTTCTCAGTGTAGAAGGTTGCCTGATGAGGGACACATCCGACTTCAGTCACAAACTTGATGTATTCCTCTGGAGACCAGAACTCACTTTAAAATACCAGTAAACATCATTACATTAACATGTGACATGTGGACACTTCACCTCCTCGTGGAGAAAGCCCCTGCCATGAGTTCACCTGCATCCCCCCACCAGGCACAGACAGGCTGCCAAAGATAAGAGGCATTGCAGAAGTTGCGTCGTCTGGGATTCCTATGGGCTGGTAGTCTGCTCGGAGAGGCCTCTTAGAGCAGGTGGAGGTCAGACCGTCCATCTCATACGTCACACCCTGTCACAGGAACATTCAAGGCTCGTATTACTCTCATTTTCTCATTGATGTTATAATGTTGTTACCTCATCACAAACACACCTGGAGTTGTGTTTTGTTTCATTCATGTTCACACAAATCCTACATATTTAAACTTCTTCTCTCAAATAAAAAAAAAACCCTCCACCTTGTGATGTCATGTGGCAATACAGGAAATGCTCCACTGTGTTTTTAAACTGTTTTAAACCACATGTGGCCATACCAGCTTGTTAAAGCCTGATCCTGTCAGATCTCAGAAGCTCAGCAGGACAGGGCCTGGTTAGTACTTGGATGGGAGACGCTGGGAAAAATCAGGTGCCACAGGGGGGCGCCAGTCACAAAAACTCATCGTCATCGTGTCCTTAGGCAAGTCACTTGTCGTGAACCCCCCCCTCGGCCACAGGAGAGCTCACTCGGGTGGGGTAAAAAGATGAAGGTTTTGGCGTAGGCCCCACTAAAAGGGCTCCTGAAATTCAGATGAAGATGTTCATGATGCTTTATTTTGATAAATGAATAACTGTTAGAGCATTAGAGATTAAGAGTGTTTGATTTAGATATTAGAAGTGTTTTTGTGACCCATATTAACATAAGTTACTTGTTCTGTTTTGATTTAATCTGATTCGTTTCTTTTATGTTGATTTGCTTAATTCTTTCAATTTAATTTTCAAGTTTAGGTTATTTTGCATTAATTTCTGTAACCGTTATGTTTGTGTGCAGGAAAGATATGGGCCTTCTGTTCTTTTGACAGTTGACCTTTGTTTGACACAGTTATTTCACACCTGGCTGGGGCAGTGGCGTAGGGGGCTAGAATGGTAAAGATTGTGGTTTCTGAGAAGTGTTGCCTGTACTTGGAAATGTGTTCTATGTGTGACGTACTGATCACTTTGCATATACCTGGGTGGAGCCCTGTGACCCTATATAAATATTGAAAATTCTGCATAATGATGAGATCCTGATTTAAGTTGGCATTGGCCCTCCGGCTGTAACTCGGCATAGGAGTTCAGAATCTGCAATTCGGACTAGGCTGTGCTTTATAGCTTTCCTGGTCACAGGGTAATTTCTCCAAAAGGTACTTGCAAAGTGATTTGTCCTAATTATTTTTGTATGAGCTTTCTGGTAAAATAGCAACTACGGAGTGAGTTGGTCATAAGTGCTTTGTCGTGAGCACTCTGGGCCTAAAAACCCTGAGTGAACACGAGTATAAAGAGTGACAACCAGCCACAGGAGTAGTGCATAAAATAATAAAAAGCAGAAAAAAATAAGACAAAGACAAATCACTTGTTGGGATCTTTTGTTGAGTCTCTCCCTCTAATTAATATACATATACTATTACCACGACAAGTCCAGTCATCCTAGGTGAGTTGCTTACAAAAACGCAATGTTTGGGGATATTTTCTAATGCAATATTTTTGATGCAAAGCTAAATTTGGTTAAATTCTTTGAGGCACTGCTAAAGATAAATTAATATTTGCGATGTTTTTGGTGTAAAACTAAATCTGGTTAAATTCTCTGAGGCACTGTTAAAATGAGTTTTGGACAAATGTTGTCAGATAGAGTATAGAGTAAGTCATAAGGTGGGCACTAAAGCTAAGTGAAGTTGTAAGTGTTCCCCAGGTGATACTTTAAGAGTTGTTAAAGTTACCTGTATGGTGTTTCTTAAAGTTAAATTATACTTTTTGAGTGTAGTCAGATATTTACCTTGCGTTATTGAAGAAATGATATTTTTGAGTGTAGTTAATGATATTTTTGAGTGTGATTGCGGTTTTAAAGTTATGTGATATTTTGAGTGTTGTCAGAGTTATCTGCAGTGTGTTTTTAAAGTTGAGTGATTTTCTGAGGGTTATTAGAGTGATTAGAAGAAGGTAGTTAGACTCAGGCTGCGTAAAATAGTCCTGGTCTTCTCAACATCACTTTACCTACATTGCCTAGTATGACGGTGTGTGCGTGACTGTTGGTGGTCGGAGGGACCGATGGCACAGATTGGCAGCCACGCTTCTATCCGCCCCACGGCAGCTGTGACTACAATAGTAGCTTACCATCACCGGGTATGGTGTGAATGAATAATGCTCTTTAAAGCGTCTTTGAGTGTCCATAAAACTGAAGCATTATTATTATTATTAAACTCCACAACTTCCCTAGAATCATTTGAATAATTTCAGCTCTGGAATTGCCGATCTCTTCTGAACAAAATATAAAAAATACTTGTTAACTTGAAAAATATTGCTTCATGACATCACAAGGTGGAACAGCATACTACATGCAGGATTACTCAAACCTGTATGAATGAAACAAAATACAACTCCAGGTATGTTTTTGTTGAGGTCCCAACATTCTAACATGTCTTAAAGCTCACGAGTTGTTGTTGTAGTATTTTGTTGTATTTTGTCAAATCTTACCTCTCCAAAGTGCAGAAGAAAATCATTTGTGAGGGATCGATTAACCAGATTTTCAGTCTCATAGACTCTCATCCGCTGCAGTGCTCTGTTGTATTCGTAATTCCAAAATTTTACTTCATCCTTTAGGGACTGAAGAAAAAATGCAACATTAGTCACATGGGAAGGTTCAGGCCGGTATCAAACACAACTGAATAACTGTGCTTTTGGAGTCAAGTTTAAGATAATCATAATACACTGACTTAAATACTTTTAAGAATTTACTCAGACTCAGTATGTATGTTCCCCAGTAGGTAATCTGTTGGCCCAGTATATATTATTTGTTCTAATTCTATAGATGAAGTGGCACAGGCACCTCTGCTCCTGTTCTTAAACCTGACACTGTTCCTAAACCCATAGCCCCAACTTTAACCTTTTTAACCTCTTCCTCAACCTAACTGTAACCAATGTGAGAAATAAAGATAAAATATCAAAAGATAATGAAAAAAAGATCCATGTGACAGAAGTGAAAGGAACATAAAGCTGACCCAAAATGACATGTATTTGAGGAAGATAGGAGAATGTTTCTTAAAAGGTGAAAATAATGATTTTATATGTTGCATGTGCAGGCCACGATAATTAAGACAGTTAAGACACTAAATCTGGACTTACCACTACTAACTTTCCCATGAGGTATGGAGGGCTTTCTGGTGAAACACAGACACATTTAGGATTAAGAGTGAAAAAAAGAAATATAAGTAAATAAAATACAAAAGTGTGAGTATAAGGTTTAAAGGTCTTGTACTTACTGCATGGCCGTGTTTGCTGGGCGGTGGTCAGGCTGTAGACTACAAATACAACTGCTAATACTAAGAGCAGCCTCATGTTGACAGCTTCACATCCCTTTCGGAGTGTGTACTGAGAGCTGAGACCAAGCCTTTTTATAATTCACCTTTTACTTTCACTTTAGGAAAATGAACAGAGCTACTTTCATTATGGAAATGCCAGTAATATCAAAAGTACAAAGTTATTGTTAGAAGTAGGAGGATGTTGAGAATAGACTACAGCAAACACCTAAAGAAAATAAAAATCCTAATCAGTATGATCTTGTTTATTTAGTAACTATAGGTGCTAACAGACAAGTGCTTTTGAGTTTCTTGGTTTTACTTTTGTTTATGCTCTGTGGAATCCCCGTCATTCTCACATGACGTTAATCACAAAGGTAAAAACATTTTGTACCCAGTGTCATTTTATTGAGATTGTTGAATCTTGTAAGTATACTCATTACAATAAATACATAACATGTTCCGATTTTTTCTTTTTTTTTTTTCTTTTGCTGAATTATTAAAGCAAATTTCATTTAACATATTATTTATCTTGTATTTATGTAAATTCTGCCGAGGTGTGAGTGCCAAATCAAACTTATTCAGTAAAACTAATAATACTTTGTCTTTGTGTCCGAGTCTCTCCAGGTTGAAATGTTTGTATGTAAAATGTCACAGAACTAAAGGTCCACAGTTGATGTTCATACTAAGAGCAACAAACCAACATACCTCCTGCCGTCACCTCAAAACCAGTACAGACATACTAGGTCACAAGGTTTATTCTGAAGAAATTGTGGTCACATCACTCTGTTCTGTTGTGGTCAGAAGTGGCAAAGTAAGCAACAGTGATAGAGGCTACTGAGAGGAAGCCCAAAATGGACAGAAAATTAACGTTTCCAGTTGAAATAGGACGTAGGGGATTTGTGTCAACGTCCATGATGAGCCAGTGAGGAGGAGCAGCGACTCTACTCCGAGCCCTGACATTCAAAATGCTCATTGGTTTGATCAGTGCTAATGACGACTCATGTTATAATATATACAGTAGCAGAAGCACAGAATGTTGAGTGGAGCGAAGAAAACACATCTACAACCTGTGAATTATACTTGATTTTAGCCGCAACAGTGGTCATCTGCTGATTGTAATCGCTGATGTTGATGTTTAGGTTGTAGAAGAGTGTATATTTCTTGTATAATGATCTGAGCTGGAACATTGTTAAGAAAGCTCAACAGTGTCTCTTTTTGTGAAAACAAAGAGAATTCACAAGGAACTTCAAAATCCACCTGAACTTTTATCACACCACAATTGAAAGCCCTCTGCTTGGCTCTGTCACTGTGTGGTTCGGCAACATTACAGCCAAAAAGAGGAATGCTTTAAATAAGGGGATCCTCTCAGCCAAAAAAACTGTCTCTTTACAAATGTAGACTTTGAAACATGCTGTTATAAGCTCGAACAATGCACTTTGATCTTTTGCGTAGCACCTTTTGTGTTTTGGCTCCTTAATCTTTGTAGCTTGTTATTTCTGTGTCAATTAATCATCTGAAATGAGGATCTATTGGCGGCTCATGTGGTCGTTTTTCATGTGTCTTGGTGCACTTTGGCCTGTTTTATTGCACATTTCGGGAACACGTTACAATAATGTGCCGTAACAGCAACCTAATCATTACCTAACCCTTTGTTTAGATTGAATAATTGTCACTAAAATATCTATTTGACACAAGTTAATAATGGTTTGCCGACTCATGTGGTCGTTTTTCATGTGTCTTGGTGCACTTTGGCCTGTTTTATTGCACGTTTCGATAACACTAGTAATGTGCCATAACAAACAGCAACCTAATCATTACCTAACCCTTTGTTAAGATTGAATAATTGTTTGTATGAAATCTGTGTATTAATGTTTTAACAAATTGAAAACAATCTATTAATTAATATCATATTATGTGTTAATTGTTAACTAAATAGTTAATAGTTATTTTTATATCATTTAAATGTTAAATGTTTATTTACAAAGTATATATTGATATAAAAGTTAATGACACGTTGTTATTTAACTGTTATTAAACTGTGCTTCTGCTTATCTCAATATCAACTCCTCATAGGATCTTTATAATAAAGCTTCAGCGTAATTCATATATTAGTAATATATAGTAATATATTAGTAGTATTTAGTAGTATATTAGTAGTATATATCTATCAGTGTGGGGCACCTTATAAAAAAGTTGGAACAGTATAAATTAATTAAATATTTTTTATAACATTTATTCACAATATCAGATATTTTACAGTGGGTCTCTCACACTGGAAATGAACGTCTCAGCACACACTGTTGGGAAGGAGGAGGAAAATACTTTATTTATAAAGTCAGAGAAATCTGGAACACAGATGGATAAACTGATCAAAAAAATGATCAAACTTGGACACAACAGAATGTATAAAATGGTTTACTAAATAAACTGAAAGAGCGAGGGTGTTCAGCCAGAGTGGGAGAAAAAGAGAGAAAGACAGAGGGAGCACAAGAAAGTGAGGGAGGGGGAAAATACTTTATTTAACTCTGATGGTTAAACTGATCAAAGGAGATGATCAAACTAGAACATAGTAAGTAGTGTATTATGTTGCTCTACCTTGATCAGTAACTTTGGTCTGATGGTGGTACTTTTAGCTCCAGTTTAACGTAGATCACTGAATCAGATTAGAATATTAACATCTTGCTTAAAAGTGACTTAGGGTGCACTCACATGGGGACTTTAGAAATGTGCCGTGCTCGAGCACAAGTGCGTAGGGTTCTATGTCCCGCACTCACACTTGCACATCTGAACCAGGTCACCGCCCGATAAAAAAGTTATTAACTTGTGCCAAATAGATATTTTAGTAACAATTAATAAATATTAACAAAGGGTTAGGTAATGATGAATTTGCTGTTTATTATGGCACCGTATTATAAAGTGTTACTCATGTTTCTCCAATGTGGAATTTAACCTAAACTTTATGATCAATATTGACTGAGCAGAAACCAAATGGTAAGGTTATGTGATTTATTTAAATTCAACATATGATTTTAGCAGCAAACAACAACAAATAATTACAGAATATAACATTTAGAACTCATCATCTTCATCCGCCCGAAAGTCTGTTCCCTCTAGAAATTTCGTGAGCAATGTTTGTATTTTGTTTTCTCTTTCTTCATATTCTTCTGCCATTTTGTTCATTTCTTGCTTTGTGAAGATCTTGGTTTTCACTATGAAGATCTTCAGATCCTCCACAAACTTTGTCACAGACGGATACTCCTGCTCTATGTCGTACTCCTGCATCAGGTCGTCCATTCTCTCCACCAGATTCAGACCCGGGTCCAGGACATTAGAAATGAAATCATTACTGGAGTGATATCTCTGCGGTCAAAGTACAATATTTGTGTTATTATTAAGTTTTGCAGTAAAATGAGCTCATATAGAGGAGGGCTTCTACCTTCGCCAGGTCCAGCTTCTCCTTCTTCAGCTCGTTCACATTTTTCCTGATCTGGACCTGAAACAAACACAAAGGATTTATCTAAACCAGTGTTTCTCGAACTGATGGTGTTCTAGCTCATTCTGGTGGTGCACTGTGGAGACTTCTGCACTTCTAGTATTTGTTTACGTAACATGTGTGGAGTAGGATTTGCCACCTGCTTGTCAAAATGGAGATGATATAGTTGGGAGGGAATTTGTGAAATATCATAAGGATTGTGCACTTCTGGAAAAGTTTTTGATTTTTGGCAGGGTGTTAGGTTTGGGCCTAAGGTTTTTAAAAATCCATGGATACAAGTTGGAGCGGTATATATAAAGTCCAGAATGACCATGACCGAAAAGAGAAAAGGCTGTATCCCACCTTCCTTTTGTCTTAAATTGTTGTATAATGACACTTTTTCTACTTGACTTGATAAAAGTTATGTGATTTTAACACTATTTTCCTCTTTTAAGGCTATTTTCCTGCCAGATTTATTGTCACGGTCACTTTTTGCTTGAAAATGCCTGAAATGCTCCACAGTGTAGCATTAAATAAATCTTTCTGCATGGAGATGGAAGCATTTGACAGGACAAAGGCCAAGCTGCAGTTATAAGTCTGTGGAGAAAGGCCACCGCTCACAGAAATAATGCTTTTTTTTAGTAATGTAATTAAATAAATGCAAGATAGACAAGTTTAGGTACATATTTATACAGTTTAGTCATAGTAGTTCTAGTACTTACTATGGTCCCAGTGTCCAGGGCAGCAGAGGTGAGGCTGAGCAGACAGAGCAGAGCCACAGAGATCTGGAGGACGGACATGACTGCAGCTGTGAAGACGTTTCTACTGCTCCAACACGACATCTACTCTTTGTTTATATACTTAGGTGTCCTCAGGTGTTTAGTCCACGCCCACTGCACAGGGAAGTCCCTTTTGTCATGTTATCGATGACAACAGTTACTTTCAGTACGAAAAAAGCTGAGTAATATCAAAGTACTTTTCAGTGTCTGTTTGGTTTTACTTTTGTTTATGCCAGGGAATTCACCGATCATTCTGAACAGTTTTTATGTTGCTTGTATGATGGTGATAACGTTATGTGATTGGTGACATTGAAATTCTTTGTGTCATTGTGAAATTACTGCCATGTCATTTCCTGTAAGTGCACTCATTACAATAAATAAGTAACAAGTTTCAAGATATTTTTTTTTCTTTTGTTGAACATTAAAGCAGACTGTTACTGTTGTGACCATAGAGATGTCATTGTTTTCCCTGAAATGTTCTGCAGTATGACACTAAATGTATTTATCTTGTATTTATTCAAGTTCTGCCTGGGTCTGAGCACCAAAAGTAACTCACTCAGTAAAACTAGTAAAGCTGTGCTCTGACCGTGTGACTTCAGTGTTTCAAGTTTACACAAAGGTTCATGCGGATGTGGGTTTATGTCGTCCTATGTTTCTGTGATACATTTTCAGGCGTTTGCACAGAGTGAATCTGCCATTGGGTGTGAGTGTTCAGACTTCAGAGTTGAAAAAGTTTAACTTTTGGCGTTCGACGTCAACCAACATGTCAACCAATAAGGGACTAATCTCCAGTGACATAGTGACATCATTGTATAGAAGACGGAGAATGT